CGAATTCCTCCTTCTCAGAGTCGGCGTCGTCAAAGTCAGGCTCGTGGCCGCCCTCCTGGGAAAAGGGGTATCAAAGCATCGTTTGCAGAGGCTTCCATGGGCCCGCTCCGATGTGACAGGGGTCTCTGTCAATGAATCCCCATCGCAAAGGGGTGCCTTGTGCAGATTCCCCCCCCCCGCCCACTCCTCGCCCGCGCCCTCGCGCGGCCGCTTGCCGCCGCCGCCGCCGCCGTCGCCTGGGGGCTGTCCGCCGGGCGCCGCCGCGCACGTGGCCGCAGCCTGGGAGTCAAGAACAATTGCGGCTCCGAATCAGCCTTGCCTCCTTTCCTACCTCCTGTTCTTCGTCCTGCCCCTCCCCCTCTGCCATTCCTCATTCTGTCTCACCCCCCCCCCTTCCCCTTCCCCCTCCCCCTCCTTCTTCCGACGCGCTGCGACTGCGTGGCCTGGGGCGCCAGGAAGCGCGGGATGGGCGCCCGCGCGGCTGCGAGCTCGGGTTGGGTCGGGGACCGGCCCCGCCGGGCGCCGGCTGTCAGCTCTATCGAGCGGCTGCGGATTGCGAACATAAAAGCAAACATAATATGGATGGGCTGAGGAGGGAACGCAATGCCGCGCGCGCTGAATGAATACGTAGCACCCCGCAATTGCGGATAGGAGTGAGGGGGCTGGCGCGGGCGACGCGGGCGTCGTCAAGCCGGCGGACCTCTTGGCCCCCACCTTCCCTGTCGATGGCGCTCTCCTCCTCCTCCTCCTCCTCCTCCTCCTCCTCCTCCTCCGCCTTCTCCTCCTCCTCCTCCTCCTCCTCCTCCTCCTCCTCTTCCTCGTCCCCGTCCTCGTCCTCATCGTCATCGCCGTCCTCCTCCTCCTCCTCGTCCTCCTCCTCCTCCTCCTCTTCTTCCTCGTCATTCCTCTCCCCCCCTCGTCCTTCCATCATCGTCCTCCCATTGTCGCCATGTTCCTCCTCCTCGTCCTCCTCCTCTTCCCCCCCTCCCGATCCTCCCCCCTCCTCCTTTTCGTCGTCGTCGTCGTCGACGTCGTCGTCGTCCCCTTCCTCGTCCTCCTCCTCCTCCTCCTCCTCCTCCTCCTCCTCCTCCTCCTCCTCCTCCTCCTCCTCCTCCTCCTCCTGCAAAAGCAGCCCGCCGCAGGCGCCGAAAAAATTGGTTTGTACACTGAACGTGGTTTGGGTCGCGGGTGGGCCGCGGGTTCTCCACCGGGAACGAATGCAAAAGATGCCCGCCGCAGGCGCCGAAAAATTTGGTTTGTACCCTGAACGTGGTCGCGGGTGGGCCGCGGTCTCTCCACCTAGAACGAATGCAAAAGATGCCCGCCGCAGGCGCCGAAAAATGTGGTTTGTACCCTGAACGTGGTTTGGGTCGCGGGTTGGTCGCGAGTTGGTCGCGGGGTGGGTCGCGGGCTCTCCACCTGGAAGGAATGCAAAAAAAGCCCGCCGCAGGCGCCGAAAATGTTGGTTTGTACCTTGAACGTGGTTTGGGTCGAAGGTGGGTCGCGGGTGGGTCGCGCGCGGGTGGGTCGCGGGTGGGTCGCGGGTGGGTCGCGGGTGGGTCGCGGGGTGGGTCGCGGGTCGCGGGGTGGGTCGCGGGGTGGGTCGCGGGTGGGTCGCGGGTGGGTCGCAGGGTGGGTCGCGGGGTGGGTCGCGGGGTGGGTCGCGGGATGGGTCGCGGGTGGGTCGCGGGTGGGTCGCGGGTGGGTCGCGGGTGGGTCGCGGGGTGGGTCGCGGGCGGGTCGCGGGGCGGGTTGCGGGTGGGACGACGGCAACAAACAACAACAAACAACAACAACAACAACAACAACAACAACAACAACAACAACAACAACAACAACAACAACCAACAACAACAACAACAACAAACAACAACACACAACAACAACAACAACAACAACACCAACAACAACAGCAAACAACAACAACAACATCAAGCAACAACAACAACAACAACAACAACAAACAACAACCACAGCAACAACAACAACAACACCAACAAACAACAACAATCAACAACAAACAACAACAACAACAACAACAACAACAACAACAACAACAACCAACAACAACAACAACAAACAAACAACAACAACAAACAACAACCACAACAACAACCACAACAACAACAACCACAACAACATCAACAACATCAACAACAACAACAAACAAACAACAACAGCAACCACAAACAACAACACACAACAAACAACAAACAACAAGCAGCAAACAACAGCAACAACAACAACACGAATCCGCACCGCGGAATCCCACTTCAGCCACGCACCCAGGGACAGTGAATGACCGTTCGGCCCCCTCACTCTGATATAGCGCCGCCTGTCTCACTTACATCCCGCGGCGGGCCCCTCCCGCAGGGGGAGCCCTTCGCGGGGGGGGGGGGCGTTGCTAAGGCCCTGCTGAGACACCCCTGAAATGGGTTCTCCTCGCGCAACAATCCTGCAATCTATCGGGCAGTCGGGGGCGCGGGCGGGGCCCGCCTCGCGGAGGGGCGCGCGCCCCCGCGATGAGAGGGCGCCGTCTAGCACTTGCTCTGTCAATGGGAAGGAACGGAGGCAATGGCGAAGGCGACGGCAATGATGAAGATGATGGTGACGATGATGATGACGACGTTGATGACGATGGATGCGACGATGCTTTTTTGTGTCTAGCCGTCACCCTGCAGCGCCGCGAAGCGCTCGGCCTCCGCTTTCGCCGCCTCCTCAGCCGCGGTGCCGAGGATCAAAGCCGCCTGCAGCTCTTCCCCGATCTCCCGGAGCGCGTCCTCAGTCAAGGTGTCTCGGTGAGTCTTCCCGCCGAAGCTCGCGAATTGGTTCTTCCCGCCGCGCGCCCGCTTAAACCCGGTCGCGTGGCCCCCCTTGCAACGCGTCGCGCCGCGCCCTCGGGGGCCGCCAGCAGCGGGTGGCCCGGCGTCGACAGCGTCGGCCTCCACGGAGAGATCGGGCCCCAGCTGCTCCGCCCCCTCCCCCCCCCCCTCGTCGTTCGCGCCCTTCTCCATCCGCTGTTTTGCGGCTGCGTTTTTTTGGGCTACTGCGGGCTTCTTAAGCACCATTGCTGCTGGCTTTCCCTTCTTGGGAACCGCCTTCGCTGCGAGCGACGCGTTGGGCTGATCTGTTTTCTCCGCCCCGCCGTCGGGAAACGCCGCATCCAAGAAACCATCGTCTCCTTTGGGCAGCTCCACCCGCCCCCCCCCTGTGCGCGAATGTCAGCGCCAGGCGCGTCGGATCGGAGTTGAAGTCGAAGAACTTCCCCGGGGGATTCTTGGGCAGGTCGCGCGCATAATTGCTCCTCCAGAAGAGGTTTACTCAAGCACTTGTGGCAATGAAACCACGAAAACCGATCGGGATCAATCACAGGCATGTGCTTATGCCAAAAACACTTAAAAGGATCACGCCGTTCATCGCTTTTCTCTGGCGCCCCAATGCCCCCCCCCCTCTCCTTCCACCCTGCCCGACCGCCCTCCGATCGATGTCCCTGCAGGGCCGCCGCGGCGGGCGGTTCAACGAACTCGCCCTCCGTGCCCGACGAGCAGTCCTGCGAGGAGAACACCATGGCCAGGCTGCTGGCAACGCCTTGCTTATTCCTTGGCCTCGGAGGGGGGCTGATGCCGAACGCGCTCTAGATGACATCGCGCCTGCAGCCCCCGCTGGGCGACGCGGCGGCCGCGGGGGCGCTGGGCGACGCGGCGGCCGCTGGCGATCTGGGAGGCGGCGCTGGCTCGGCGAAGACCTCCAGGTCGGAGCTGCTGTCGGCGCGCCTGCCCTTGGGCCCCCCTGTGCTTGGGCTTGCCCCCCCAATCTTCAGCCCCGTGGCGCCCCCCAGCATCTTTGCGCGCGCCTCCATTTTCGCCCCCGTCTTGGCAGAGTAGTATTTGTTGCAGACGCGGCTGAACCCGGTCGACACCTCCCGCCGCCAACGCCTGCGCTCGTCCTCGCGCGTGTTCGGCTTCTGTTGCAGCGCGACATTTTTGGGGCTCTTCCATTTGACGCGCGTGGTGGGCTGTGCCAGCGGAAGGACGAAAGGCGCGCTGTTTTTCATGAAATCACCCGCGCCCCTCGCAGTCGGCAGCGTTCGATCAGCCAGTGCGTTTTTTCACCGGCGCCTTGAAGTGATCGTCGCTGACGGAGGAAGTCCGCACCTTCACCCCCGGCTTGTCCACGGCCACATTGGCCACGCCCGCGCGAAGCGCGCGGGCAAGACAAGCGCGATGCCCTTCGAGCCTTCGCTGCTACGGAACGTGCACTTGCGGATGATATGTGATGCCCCTCATTCTGGGGGCGCGGATGATATGCGATGCCCCTCGCTCAGGAGATCCAAGAAGGATGTGCGAACGAAGAAAAGATCGATCGCTCAAAAATCCCGGGTTGAACTATAGCGCGATCCACGAAAATTGCGAGATGGAAGTATAGTGATGATCCGAGCTATAGATCGATTTTGGAATCTCCAGGGGAAGAGAAAGAGAGAGAGAGAGAGAGAGATATAGAGAACAAACAAAAATAAATGCATAACTAACAATACAAAGGGATATAACAAGAGGAGAGAGCAAGAGAGAGAGAGGGAGAGAGAGAGAGAGAGAAAGAGAGAGAGAGAGAGAGAGCGGCAGAGAGAGAGAGAGGAAGAGAGAGAGAGAGAGCTAATGATATATATATATATATATATAAAAATATATATAGAGAGAGAAAACAAAAATGAGAGAGATAGGGAGAGAGAGAGAGCGAGAGAGAGAGAGAGAGAGAAATAAAGAAAGAGAGAGAGAGAGAGAAAGAGAGAGAGAGAGAGAGCGGCAGAGAGAGAGGGAGAGAGAGAGAGGGAGAGAAAGAGAGGGAGAGAGAGAGAGAGAGAGAGAAAACAAACAAATCAAAAGATGATGGGACAGAAGTGGGAACGGACAAGAAGAATGGAGGAGGGGTGGGGGGGGGGGCGAAGAGGGCGCGCGCAATGATTGTTTGCCCCCCCCCCCCCCTCCCTGCCCCCCTCCCCCCAGGGCGACGGCGCAGACGTCGACGGCTCCTCGGCGGGCAGGGTCCCGCGAGCAGGCGCTCGCTGCAAGGCGTTGTCGCCTTCGTCCTGCGCCGCGGCGGCGGCCGCGCCCCGCCTGCGCCGGTCGCCCCTGGCATCTCCATCGGCGCGTTCAAGATTGACTGGGCGCGCGCCGTGGGCCTAGGGGTCGGGGCGGAGTTCACGGGGGCCCTGCTGCGACGCCTCGCGGGGATGCTGCCGGGGCGCAGCCGCGCGCAGAAGAGCGACTAGATGCGGGGGGCCCATCCAGGGGCTAGCGACTTCCGCGGCGCGCCCGACAAGCTGCGCGATTTCCGCGAGCGCACAGCGAATCCCAGGAAAGGAAGGCGAATCCGAAGTTTCGCGGTCACGCGGCAATTCCGAGGCATCTGACCCTCTTTCTGCAGAAAAGCGGTGGAGAACTATTTCGTTTCTTTGAGCAACGTGGACGACGCCGCGCTGGATGCGACGCGGCGCCCGCGCACTTGTTGCAGCGCATTGAGCGGCGATTGCATGTTCATGCTTGGTCTGATGCGCGACTCCACCAGCAGGCGCATGACTTTGCTTTTTCCTTGCGGCGCTTCAGCCAAGAAGTTGGCGCGCGAAGGCGAAGGCGCATTTGCTCCTCGAGATGGCCTTCGCGGCGCGGGCAGCCGTCGCTGCGCTATAGGGGCGGGGGCTTCGGGGCCAACGTGGGGCAAGGCCGACTGCTACATAAGCACGCGCACTCTTTAGCATCAGATGAACGTTCACGGTCATAACAAGATTCGGGTGGAGGAGCGGGGGGGCCTTTGACTCGAGACCCCTCGCTGCGAATATTCGACACGCGGAGCGAGGGGGGGGGGGGGGGGGGGCGGGGAGCGCGCGGGAGGGAGGAGGAGGTGGGGGGGGGAGGAGGGAAACGGGTAGATGATGAGAGAGGAGGGCGGCCACGAACAATTCGTAACGGCAGTTCTGTGTGTTTTATATGGGCGTCGGCCTCAAGTCAGTCAAACAACGACCCTGGGTGAGAAGCCAACCCCGGGGAAGAGGTCGAGGTGTCAGGGGGCCCGCGTCTCGAAAAAATGAGGCCGCCGAGAGTATTGTATTTTCTCCGGGTTCACCCCGTGCAGCCCATTCCTATTTTTTGGCATGTATATCGTTTGTGGCTTCCTGGGGACTCCGTTGATTACCAAAGACTTTGCGAGATTTGGGAGCGGGCGATATATGGGGGCGCCCACCGACTTCCTTCAAATTCGGGGAAGGGGCGAAAATTACGGCCCGAGCTTCTGCCTCGTTCAGGGGCCTGGGGCTTGCATGGGACGATTGAGAAACAATGCAGAAAACAGGGGTCCGATTTGAGAAGCGACGCGAAAGATGGGGTCGGGGGCTCCTCCCGGATTCTTTTGCCGTTTCTGTTTCGTTATGTCGAGCCTTGGGGTGCAGCCGCCACCACCAGAGTCCCGTTTGGGGGCCCAGGCGTTGGTGTAAGTCGTTTCTCGGCCAAACCAGGAGGTTTTGACCAATCCGCACGAATGTCTCGGCCCCGAACCGGCCAGTGGAGGCGCACAGGTAGTTCACAGTATGCACGTCAAGAGACCGTGCTGCCAGCAGGTGCCCCACGGTAATTGATTATCAACCGATGGCCCCGGGGACCCAGAGAAACCTTAAGGGGTACTTCAGGAGTCTCGGAGCTCGGCGACGAGTCTGCCTCTCGTATTGTATCAGGATGTTTTATCGTATGTGCCTACTGTGTAAGTACCTTCCCTTCCCCAGCGAGGGCGCGCGGGCCGTCGCGGCGCGGCTGCCTTCGAGCCTGGCGCGCCTCCACCTCGGGCTGCGCGGCTGCGGCGTCGGGGCCGCAGGTGGAGAGGAAGAAAACGGTGACCAGGACTAAGGCTGAACGCGGCAACGTCGGTGTCGACCCTGGCCAGGGTCCATCTTGGTCACCGTCGGCTCGTGGATCATATTCGATCAATCGGCGACGGCTGGCACGGACCAAGACTGGCGTTGACAACTTCCCGCGAAATCTTGGCCATTCGAGGGCAACGTGAGGGGGGGGGATGCGCTCAGGGAGGGACGCATCGACCCCCAATCGCTTATTGATCGCCGATAGGGGCCCGACAGCCCGCCCCGCCCAGGACCGTCGGATTCGCTATCGGGAGCCAATCACCGATTTATCGGCCATGCACCGCCGATTCAAGCTCGATGTCCCCCCCCCCTTGGGCCAGTCCGCCCCTCACGTTTCCCCACCAGCGGCGGCGGAGTCGCAGGGCAGCCCCGGCACCGCCGCCGCCCCCGCCGTCGGCAGCGGTGATGACCCCTTCCTTTTGCGGAGCGGCCTCGCGGCACAGTTGGGGGCGAGCCGCCGGGCTCTGTCGGTGGGTCCTCAGCGGATCGTGCTGCTCACGCCCGAGGAGGGGCAGGAGGAGGACGAGGAGGAGGAGGTGGAGGAGGACGAGGAGGAGGAGGAGGAGGAGGAGGAGG